TCTTCTTCTCCTCCTCTTCTCCTCCTCCTCCTCCTCTCTTCTTCTTTCTTCTTCTTCTTCTTCTTCTCTTCTTTTTCTTCTTCTCCTCCTTCTTCTTCTTCTTTTCCTTCTTCTTCTCCTCCTTCTTTATTTTTGCCTTCCCTTACCTCCCTCAGTCCGGTCATTCAGTGTGCTCTTGTCACAGTTTCTGTGTCAGTTCTTCATCATTATCTTTGTCTTCTCACAATGTTTATTGGTCCTCCCTTTTTGCACCATTTTCGGTTTTTTTAAAATCGATGATTTTTTTTTTTTTTTTTTTTTTTTGAACACTGAAGCTTTTTCCGTGTTTTTTGTTTTTTTTTTTTTTTTTGGTGTTTGTCTGTTCGATTTTTGAATAGCGTTTTCTTGCCATTGTGGACAGTTTGTGATTTTTTTTTTATTGGTGTTGTTTTTTTTCCTTATTTGCTCTCTTTCTTGTACTACTTGTCTCTATTTTTCTTTTTTTTTCTTCTTGTTCTTTCTTTTGAATTTTATTTTCTCTTCTGCTTCGTTTTCTTGTGCTTCTTCCTTTTCAAGCACGTCATTTTTCTTCTTTCTCTTCCCTTTCTTCCTTCTTTTCTTCTTCTTCCCTTTCTTTCATTTTCTTCGTCTTTTTCCTTCGCCTTCGTTTTCTTCTACTTTTTTTCTTCTTCATTTTCTTGAAGCGTCTGTTGCTTCTCTGCATTCTCTCTTTTTCTCCCCTTTTTTCTTTCTCTCTCTCTCTCTCTCTCTCTCTCTCTCTCTCTCTCTCTCTCTCTCTCTCTCTCTCTCTCTCTCTCTCTCTCTCTCTCTCTCTCTCTCTCTCTCTCTCTCTCTCTCTCTCTCTCTCTCTCTCTCTCTCTCTCTCTCTCTCTCTCTCTCTCTCTCTCTCTCTCTCTCTCTCTCTCTCTCTCTCTTTCTGTGTGCCATTTGTTTTCGCGTTTACGTATATACACAAATATATTTATATATCGTTCTATATATAAATATACCTGTATATACCAATTGATTTATATCTTACATGTATATATATTATCAGTTCACAAACACATCTCGTTATGTTCTCATTTCGTAAATGTTTGGTAGCAAGAGAGAGTTGCTCTCCCACTAGTTCACCTGTAGCCCATTGTCATCCGAATCGTTCTCTAATTAAAACGGTAAGTAGTGAGTTACTCTCGTTTGATAGCTTTAGTTACTCCCCATGAGACAAAATAAATATTTAAAAAAAACGGTTTATCAAAAAAAAAATACAATATACTATCAGTATGTCAGTATATCAGTATCTGTTTATATTGCATATCTTACCTATCTCTATCTGCATTGTGTGTGTCGTTGTATACCTGAGTAGCACACTGCACTATCTAGGGGTGTGAGCTGGGATTGGTGACACAGCCGCTCACGTGACCCTGAGATCCTAGGGTCATTCCAGGGTTCATCACTTGACCTCCACACCCGACTCCCTTTTCTGGTTCATTGCGGGAGGTGTCAGGTATCCACGAGGCCGATGACCTAGGGACAACTTCCCCCCCCCCCCCTTCATGCTCCTGCTAGCCATTCTCCTGAACAATCGACACTAGATGTTTTGGTCAAGAGCATGTCAGAACTTAGCAAGTAAACTCAAGTTGCTGTTCTCTCACATGGAAGTGTCTGTTATGCTCGTAGTGTCTTTGCAACCTCTTTGTCTTGATCTAGCACAGCGGCATATACTAGAATCTTGACTTAATTAATTCAGTTATGAATATTGTGCATTCAACGTTTTACTAACAGACGATTCACTATAGCGTTAAAGATCGGTCATATGGAATGGTCATTATATCTAAAGAGCAACTAGGAAGACCTGACTGCCAGTTAAACTTCCAACTGTGATTTAACTCTGAATTTCTGACATAGTAAAACCTCAATGTAGGCAAGAAAGCTGATCACAGCCGTAAACTTAAACCCTCTTTCCACCCCTTGTGTTGATCTGTAGACACAATACTCGATGAACATAACACATTTAAATCTACCTTTCTTTTCTTTTTTTAATTTCCATGGACACACCTACAACCTAACTTTTTTTCTGTAGTCACTTCAACATCCACGTGATTTTATTTTTCTGTTCAGTAAACACTACGTATATCTTCTTCACCGCTACACGCACCGCATACCACAACACCTCCTACACCTTCATGAACAGTTGAACACCCTCGCAACACAGCACCGTCCGCTTTTGATTTTTTTTTTTTCAATCCAGATGTTCAGTTGTTCACTCTTCGTTCTCTTCCGTTATTCCGTTATTCCGTCTTCCCTTCGTTATTCGTTTCCGTTTTCGTAACATCTTTTTTTGGTTCTTACTATCCGTCTGGAGCCCCCATACGCCCCATCCCCTTCCCCTCCCCCGCCTCCCTTTCTTCCTCTCCATCTCCTTTAATTTCACCCTCCTCCTCCTCCTCCTCCTCTTCCTCCTCCCACTTTATTTCCTCATCTCCCTTCTAACGCGTTCGCTTAGAGCTCTTTTCCACCCTTAAGTACTTCTTCAACTTCACTCTTTTTTTTCTAACTTCACCCCTCCCCCCCCTCCTTACCGCCGCCCCTTTCAGGTATTCCTCTCCCCCCCCCCCAACCACCACGGAACCCCCTCAATCCCCCCCTTCCCCCTACTCTTTTTTCGACTATGTTCTAATTTCATCGCTTTTTTCACCACGTCCCCTTGACACCACCCCTTCCCCCCCCCCTCCCCCCCCCCCGCATGCGCTTACCTGCCTCAACAGCCTTACAGTAGCCTATGTGACACCCCCTTCCCCCCCCTCCTCCCCCCAACCTTCCCCCCATACCCCCTCTCAACCCCCATCCACTCCCCTTTTTGAAACTGACCTTCCCCCTCCCCCCTCCCTCACCCTCTACCACCCTCACCCCCTCTACCACCACCCCCTCCTCGATCTTGTCATGCGTGTCATAAAAAAAAAGAATGTTACATACATTCCGTGTCATACTGACCTTTCACATTCTTCTCTCTGACCTTTCCTGACACGTTCTTTACGTTCATGAATGACAATGAGGACCGACAGAAGATACTCATGGGTTTATGTTCTTGAAATTCCACATTCCACATAGTATGAGTTGGTAAGCATTCATCACTGGCCTCTGTTATACATTTTCCACATTCAATAAGTGGTGTGCATACTTTACATACCTTTCCGTAAGTGAATGAGTCACGTGGTTGAATATTTTAAGTATTGGCGTCTTTCAATGGCGTGCATAGTTTTCCAAATACCACTTGTGACTTGTGACTAATAATTTTTTTTTTCTATCCTTTTTTTTGTCGGTCCATGATCAATCTTTTTCTTCAACTATTTTTTACTTTTCTTTTTCCTCTTTCTCTCTTTTTTCATTTTTTTCTTCTTTTCTTCTTTCTCATATCAGCGTCTCTTTTGGTATCATCCTCATGTAATAATTTGCATTATCACTCCCTCATACGTCCTGTTCCTCCTTCACTTCCTCTTACAGTAGAAATTCCCTTTCCCCACTCCCCTCTCCCCTCCCCCTCCCCCTTTTCCTCTTCCTTTCCACTATTCCCTTTTCCCTCCCCTTCTTCCCTTCCCCCTCTCCCCTCTTCCCTCTTCCCCTCTCCCTCTTCCCCTCTTCCCTTCCACCCTTCCCCTTCCCTTCCCTTCTCCCCTCTTCTCTCCTCTTCCCTCTCCCTCTTCCCTTCCACTCTCTTTCCTCTCCCTTCCCCTTCCCCTCTTCCTTTCTTCCACCACCTCTCCCCTCTTCCTCTTCCCTCTCGCCTCCCTTCTTCTTCCTCCTCTCCCCTCTTCCTTCCCCTCTGACCCCCCCTCTCTCCCCTCCCAAATACATGAACAAACCTTTCTCCCTTCTTCCCTTCCCCCTCGACTCCCCTCCCCCCATTTCCCTCCCCTCACATCATCACCTTTTCCTTGTCCTTCTCTTCGTTTCTCTCCTTGTGGTCCTCTCCCCCTTCCCTCTCCCACCACCCCTCCTTCTACCCAACCCTCCTTTCCCCTACCACCTCCTCCCCTCTTTCCAACACCCTCAACACCTCATCCCCCCCCCTTCCTCGACCCACCCAAAAAATCCCTTTCTCCCTCTTTCTAACCCCAATAACAGCCCCATCCCACCCCCCTCCTTCTAGCACCCCCTCACCTTCCCAATTTTTTCCTCCCTTTCCACCTCCTTCAGACTCCAGTCACAACCGTTTCCCCTCTCATCTCTTTCTCCCTTTTCCCCCATCCCTCATTTCTCCTCTCCTTCCCACCCTCTTGGCCTCCCTATCTTCCTTCCCTTCCTCCCCATCCCCTCCCTTTCCTAACAATCCCTCCCCATCCACTCCTCTTCCCCATTCCCACCTCTTCCCCTTATCCCCATCTCCTTCCTCTCCCCATCCCACCCTAACCCCACCCTCCCCCATTCCCTCACCCACCTCCCCACCCTTTCCACCACCCCATCTCCTTCCCCTCCCCATCCCACCACCCTCACTCCCAACCCTCCCATCTTCCCCCCTCCCCCATTCCCTATCTCTTCCCTCACCTCCCCCCATCTCCCTACTCCTCCCTCACCTCCGTCCCCCATCTCCCTATCTCCTCCCCCCACCCCCTCACCAATCTCCTCATCTCCCCATCCCACCTAACCCCACCATCCCACATCCCTCAACCCACCCTTCCCCCATCTCCCCTCCCCTTCCCTATTCCTCCCAACCCCCCACCCCCCCCACCTCCCTCCCCTCCCCATCTCCCCACCTCCTCCCCACCCACTTCCTCCCACATCCCACCTAACCCCACCCCCCCATATACCCACCCCACCCATCTCCTCCCCTCCCCTATTTCCTCCCAACCCCCCCACCTCTTTCCCCCACCTCTCCCCATCCACCTAACCCCCCCACCCTTCCCCCACATCTCCCCTCCCTTCCCCCCTTCCTCCCAACCCCGCACCCCCTCCCCCCCCTCTCCTCCCCAGCAGCGCGCCCTGCAGATAGCCCCCGTGTGAACCTCACCATCTATCCCCAGGCCTGCAGGTCGTCCTCAAGTCCATCATCAAGGCAATGGCCCCATTGCTACAGATCGGGTTGCTCGTCCTGTTCGCCATTGTTATATTCGCCATCATAGGCCTTGAATTCTACTCGGGTGCTCTCCATAAAACCTGCTACAGTTTAGAAGACTTAGGTAATGTATTGGCTCCTCTCTTTTTGTCTTGTCTGTCTGAAGTTTTTTTCTGTCTATCTATTGTACATGTCTATATTTACATATGTGTGTGTGTGTTGTGTGTGTGTGTGTGTGTGTGTGTGTGTGTGTGTGTGTGTGTGTGTGTGTGTGTGTGTGTGTGTGTGTGTGTGTGTGTGTGTGTGTTGTATTAAGAAATCTGATCTGTTTCAATTCTGTTGCACTGTAGTAGGCCAATAGGCCAATAAATTAATTTTCTGCAAATTGTATATTTTGAGATCTACAGTACAGTAATGCTATCTTTTGTTTATATTTTTTCAAGAAATGATACATGATTTTCCTATAAGATAAGGCAAGAATATTGTATCCAGTCCATCAAATGTATCCCTTTGTAGTTTTTTCCTTTTTTTCTTTCAGTCACTCCTAACATTACCCCGATCGTCTCCCCCTTCCCCTTAGACCCTAGAACCCCACCCCCCTCAAATCCCCTCCTGTGGGAGACCAACTTCGTCCAGCTCTCCCCCCAAGACCCTCCTGCAGAAGGACACTAACACCCCCGTCTCCCCTTCCGTTCCCGCAGGTCAAATAGTGACAGAAGGAGAGATGCCAACGCCATGTAACACAGACAATGTATCCTTTGCTCCATCGGGTTCCTTTGTGTGTAATTATAACATCTCCACCTGTTTGGAGCTCTGGGATGGTCCCAATTACGGCATCACGTCCTTTGACAACATCGGCTTCGCCATGTTAACGGTGTTCCAGTGCATCACACAAGAGGGATGGACGTCCATACTGTATTGGGTAAGTGTGGGAGGAACTTGGGGATATTGAGGAGATTGAGAGGATTGAGCGACTTGTGGAAATTGGGGAGATTGATTGAGCAATCTGTGAAAACTGAGTAGATTGAGCAATCTGTGAAAATTGTGGTTTGAGAGGATTGAGCGACGTGAAAATTGAGGAGATTGAGAAGATTGAGCGACGTGATAATTGTGGAGTTTGAGAGGATTGAGCGACTTGTGAAAATTGAGGAGATTGAGAAGATTGAGCAATCTGTGAAAATTGTGGAGTTTGAGAGGACTGAGCGACTTGTGAAAATTGAGGAGATTGAGAAGATTGAGCAATCTGTGAAAATTGTAGACAGTTTAGTTTTTTTCTTATTTTTGTTACTTTTCCAGGTGTCTGATATCCTTTCCTTTTTCTCTATAGATGTATTTCTATGTCTTTATAAGGTTAAAAAAAATCATAAGCAGCTTCATTGTAATAGATGCGAAATTGCACCTAGCCTATACGATAAATAATGAATAAATAAATAAATAATAATAATTCCATTAAGAAATACACTCGCAGCTGCATTCCATCCTCCCTTCCTTTAACCCTCCTCCCCCTCTCCCTTCAAAAACAATAACAATAATAATACCAACAACGATTCCACATAAATAAAAAAGAAACCCCCCAAAAAAATAAACAAAAATAAAAAAGCAAAAAATTCTACACATTAATACCCGAGTTCCCTTACTCTCTCTCGGCCATTGTGACCCGACTTCCAAGTGTACTTAACAAGGTTCGAGATCTCTTTGTCCCTTTTCCTTTGTTTCCGAAATTGTAAGGAGGATGCAGAAGAGGTGAACCTTCTCTATCCTTCTCGGGCCTTTGTTTGTCATGTCAGCTCACCTCTCTTGGCGATTAGGTGTCGGCATGTCGATTATTTTACTTTATTTTGTGCATGTGTGTGTGTGTGTTATACCGATTGTGAGAGTGCGTCGTGTTCAGGTTGGGTTAATCTGTATGGTCGTTATATATATATATTTCTCTTTAGTATCATATATATCTGTTATTCTCCTTCCTTTGAGAGAAAAAACACAATCATAAACCAAAAATATTCTTCTTCCGCATATCAGACTAATTCAGATTGGGTATATGTGTATGATAGTGATATATACTTCTTTTAGTATCAAATACATCAAAATTATTCTCCTTCCTTTAAGAGAGAAAAACACAATCATGTCAAACTACAGAAAATACTCTTAATACGCTTATCAGACTATTTCAGATTGGGTTTATTTGTATGATAGTGATATATACTTCTTCTAGTATCATGTATATCAAAATTATTCTCCTCCCTTTAAGAAAAAATACAATCATATCAAACCAAAGAAAATATTCTTCTTCTTCCGCATATCAGGCTATTTCAGATTGGGTTTATGTGTATGATGGTGATATATATTTCTCTTAATATCATATATATCTAAATTATTCTCCTTTAAGATACAAAAATACAATCATATTAAACCACAGAAAATATTCTTCTCCCGCATATCAGACTATTTCAGATTGGGTATATATGTATGATGGTGATATATACTTCTCTTAGTATCATGTATATCAAAATTATTCTCCTCCCTTAAAAAAAAAGAAATGACAATCATACCAAACCAAAGAAAACACTCCCTCCGCATGTCACCTCAAGCACAGGACGGGCCGAGTGCATGTCTTTCCATGTCCTAATATAATTCACTCATTTCTTTCTTTTCTTTTCTTTTTTCAGACAAATGATGCGCTTGGTAGCAATTTCAACTTTCTGTACTTTGTGCCCCTTATCGTGTTGGGGTCCTTTTTCATGCTCAACCTAGTCCTTGGTGTGTTGTCTGGGTAAGTTGACTATCTATTTTTATTTCTCTCTTATAGCTGTCAGGCAATCACAACTGTTTTGATTAATCACACTTAAGAGAAAGAGAGACAAGACAAAAAAAAATACGATAAATTCTGTTCATAAAGCCTCAGTTAGCATTCTTTATTTTTTTAAATTTAAGATCTGATTATTGTACGAGAATATCTTAAAAAAAAACGCTAGAAAAATTAAAAACAAACTAGTATCGGTTCTACTGTTGAAGTTGGACTCAAGCAGAGATTCCCCCTCTGCCAGAAATACCATTCAGAAAGCTGTACCTCCTCTGCTAACCCGACACAGCTGTCTTCCCCGCAGCCACAACCCCCTCCCCCCCCAGAAGTGCAGCGTTGTCCTTACGTCCCCCAGGTCTTCGAGGAGCTCTCACCGTCTCCCAGCCCTTCTCCGATAGCTACCCCTATTCTATTACATCTTAAAAACCCACCTACCATTTAGACTGCCATTAATATTTACATTTTCAGAGAATTTTCCAATGAAAGAAAGCGTGTTGAGCGGAGAGAACATTACAGAAAAGTCAGGATGAGAAGGAATTTCACTGAGGCATTTACGGGGTATTTTGACTGGATCTGTAAAGCAGGTACTGAGGCCTTGTGACTCATAGTAAAAGCCAACCTTAACAAGTATTAGTGTTTGAGTAAAACTGCTGATGTATCTAACTAAAACAGAGAGAGAAAATATATCTATATCTAGCGTATCATAAACACTCTTAACTGTATTGTTTGTAAACTATAAAATTCCCCCCCCCCTACTCTCCTCCGTTGGGTAAAAGGGCTATATGTACATTAGTAAAATACAGTAGGTTGTCTCTATATGTTGGGCAATAAACGGTTTGATTCTGTAAATACAGCTTGGATGACTAAGCTTTGTACAATGTAGTGTTGGTGTAGTAGTCAGTGAGGAGACGGTTTCTAGACATACACTACTAGATCTGCATCGATGTGACCGTTCCTAAGTCAGTCCAGCGTGGTTCAGAGCCTTTGGCATTAGTACCCGACGTTCCAGTATAACTTGGGATGCTGTCGTCACTGACACGCGAGAGAGAGAGAGAGAAAAAAAAATATTTTGATGCAGACAGACCAGAAGGTTTTCTCTTTTTTTTTCTTTTTTTTTTTAGAGAATAAAAGTGATTTCGTCACTGAAGTTGATGTTTGCATCATTGGTCTTCTTGGATTCTCTCGATTCCCTTTTTGGTCGTTTTGCAGTTTCCCGAAATAACAGACTATTTACAGTATATATATATATATATATATATATATATATATATATATATATATATATATATATATATTATATATATATATAATATATATATATATATATATATTATATAATATATTATATATATATATATATATATATATATATATATATATATATATATATATTATATATATATATATATATATATATATATATATATATATATAATATATATATATATGTATGTATGTATATACACATATGAAATATATGTTTGTATATATTTTTCCGCCCATGATTTTGCATATGTAACAATACTGATTTTACCAGAAAAAGAAAAAAAATGAAAATGAAAAACTGACATCGAATCCGACGTCCATGACAGTAGCGTAGACACCGACCCACGAACAGTTGTCACGAACGACACGACCCAGAGCAGACCCGCGGATTGTCAGTCAAACAGCCCAAGCAATCCTCGATCACCTAGACTGAATTTTAAATCGCCTCCTGCGCAGGTTTAGTCCTAAAAATCCTTGTCTCTCTCCCCTCTCCCCTCGAGACTTAGGAGAAATCCCGTAGGATCTCTAGGACATTAAAAAAGAAGAGAAAAGTGGCTAGAGGTATTATCATTGAGCTAAACACCTATTTTTCCTCCCCCTTGTTCCTTCTCCCTTTTTGTGTCCATCCTTCTCCCCTCAAAAAGGCGTTTCCATGTGGTGGATGTTGTACGAGTCTCTCTCACGATGCATTCTCTTGCTTGCAGTGAGTTTGCTAAGGAGAGAGAGAGAGTAGAGAATAGACAAGAGTTTTTAAAGCTTAGACGGCAGCAGCAATTAGAGAGAGAGTTGAATGGATATGTCGAGTGGATATGTAAAGCAGGTATGTGGTAGATTTTAAGCAATAGATCTAGTCTTTGGTTAGTCAATCTAGGTTCCAACACTTGCAGTGAAAGATGATAAATGTCCGTCAGTTTACACTATAGTCTTTGTTTCTTAAAAAAAAAAGAATATTGTGTGTAACTTTATTGTGCATCCCAGTGTGTTGACTAAAATTGTAATTCTCGAGTGACTAAGTCTTAAAAGTAATAAAAGTATGTTGAAGCTATCTGTCCATAATTGAAAGTCACTGTGTCCGTAATTTGTGGTACTGGTTGATGATAAATAGATGATATATTGCACTCAGTATTTCATTTGCAGGTAATTGATAACAAGATTTATTTTCCAGATGCAACACTGACATCAAACAGTTGATATCTAACCGAGTCCTCAACTCTATATAGGATTAATTAGATGAATTTATTTTAATTTGCATTTGATTGAATATATCAGATAAGGAAATAATTCAAACACATTTACCAAAAAGATCATACTTGTCAATTAAGATAATTATACATGCAAATACATACTCCATACAATTGCCATATATTGTGCATGTGATTATATATATATATATATATATATATATATATACATCTGCCTATATGTCTGTCTATCTACACCTTCCTACCTATCTCTATCTCTATCTGTCTATCTATCTATCTATCTTTCTATCTATCTACCTCCCTACCTACCTTACCTACATACTACCTACTTCCTATCTATCTATCTCTTCTATAAACTACCTTCTATCTCTCTATCCTCTACCTAACTAACCTCCTTCCCTACCCTCCCCTACCTACCTACCCCTACCCTACCTACCTCCCTCCCTCCCCCTACCTACCCTACCCCCTACCTACCTCCTACCTACCTCTCATCTCCCCATCATATCTCCCATACCCCCTTTCTACTCATCCAAAACCTCGATTTCTCTTCTTCCCTGTGTGACACTCATGCATACAACCAAAGTTAACTATACCCCCCTGACTCCATTTTGCAGACGGACTCAAGTCTAATATTAGCAGAAAGAACTACACAAGATGGAGGAGAGTAGCTATATAATGGGACAGCGTGGCTTGATCTCTGTCCTTTGGAAGTGTCGACGTGTGGACCACAGGGTTCCGATCGGAGACCCCGCCCTCTCTCCTGCTGCAGCTCCCTCCGCCTGGTCTGCCCGTGGATGTTGCGGCCATGTGCCGTGGGCGGGCTGTGTGCTCAATCAGCCGCGGTGGGCGTGGAAGGGGTCCGTTCCCTTCCTTCTCGCCTCCCTCCCTGTCTCGCCCCCGCCCCTTCCCCTTCAGTGTGTGTGTGTGCGTGGCCGGCACCTGTCCGGGGTGTGTTGGGGGGGCGCGCCCCTCCCGCCTCCTCGCCGCTCCCCACCAGTGACGATCCGGCCCGCGCCCTCTCCCCTCGCCCTCCCATGTGGGTGTAGGTAGGGGTGGGGGAGTTGGTGTGTGGCGGCGTCTGTGCGCCGCGCTGGCACCCGCGTGCGCTCAGCACCCATCGCTCCACCTACTCACTCCTCGACCAACAGAGGTTTATTGCCCCTTCCCCACCATGTGTGTGTGTGTGTGTCTGTGTCTCCTCGCTCGCCCCGGTGCCGATCGATATACAGTGTTAATTAAATTGTGTGCTTCTCTTAATTCTATGATTTATAAAAAAAATGCAACTCGTAAGTTGATAATGGAGAGATAAGCGCGCGGGAGACCAACATAAAAGAGATGGCGCGACTCGACATCCGCGTCAGACCCTATTCCGTGACCTACCAGAGTGAGTGAAAGGAGAGAGGAGAATGAAGAAAGAGATGGGGATAAGAAGTGAGAGAGAGAGGTAGAGAGAGAGAGGAGATGAGAAGAGAGAGAAGAGAGAGAGAGAGTGAGAGAGTGAGAGCAGGAGAGAGCGAGAGAGATGAGAGAGAGACTTGAGAGAGAGAAGAAAGAGAGACGGCGAAGAGCTAAGACTGAAAAAGAAAAAGGGATCGAATGCAGAATTCACCAGAAGGAAAACGGAAAGACGCAAAAGATAAAAACCAAACGATCGGGAACACACACACACGCCCACCAATCACACCCACAAGCCACCCACGCCCACACATCCACAACACACACATCCTCCTCCCCCTCTCCCTCCCGACTCTCCACCCACACTAACCTCGCCTAACCTGTAAACCCTTTCAGCCCGGAGAACACACCCACAATCACACCCGACGCCCACCACATTCCACATCCTCCTCCCTCCCTCCCTCCCTCCATCCTCCCCCCTCCCTCCTCCCTCCCCCTCTCCCCCAAACCACCCACACTAACCTCCTTGTAACCCTTTCAGCCCGGAGGAGACACACCCACAAGTCACACCCACGCCCACACATCCACACACCAATCACACACAATCCTCCTCCCTCCCTCCCCCCTCCCTCCCTCCCTCCCCCCTCCCTCCCCCTCCCCCCAAACCTCCACACTACACCTCCTGTAAAACCCTTTCAGCCCGGAGGAGACACACCCACAATCACACCCAGACACACCACACACAGACACACACATCCTCCTCACCTCCCTCCTCCCCTCCCTCCCTCCCTCCTCCCCCCTCCCTCCTTCCCTCCTCCTCCCTCCCCCTCTCCCCCAAACCTCCACACTAACCTCCTGTAACCCTTTTCAGCCCGGAGGAGACACACCCACAATCACATCCACCGCCCACACCACACACAATCAACACTCATCCCACAATCCCACCCCTCCTTCCTCCCCTCTATCCCCCCCCCCCTCCTCCCCTCCCCCCTCCTCCCCAAACCTCCCACACACACCTCCTCGTGTAACCCTTTCAGCCCGGAGGAGACACACCCACAATCACACCACGCCCACAACATCCACACACAATCACACACATCCTCCTCCCTCCCTCCCTCCCTCCCTCATCCATCCTCCCCCCTCCCTCCTCCTCCCTCCCCCTCTCCCCCAAACCTCCCACACTAACCTCCTGTAACCCTTTCAGCCCGGAGGAGACCACACCCACAATCACACACATCCTCCCCCCTCCCTCCTCCCTCCCCCCTCTCCCCCAAAACCTCCCACACTAACCTCCTGTAACCCTTTCAGCCCGGAGGAGACACACCCACAGTCACACCCACGCCCACACATCCACACCCTCCTCCCTCCCTCCCTCCCTCCATCCTCCCCCCCCCCCCTCCCCCCTCTCCCCCAAAACCTCCCACACTAACCTCCTGTAACCCTTTCAGCCCGGAGGAGACACACCCACAATCACACCCACGCCCACACATCCACACACAATCACACACATCCTCCTCCCTCCCTCCCTCCCTCTATCCTTCCCTCCATCCTCCCCCTCCTCCCTCCCCCTCTCCCCCAAACCTCCCACACTAACCTCCTGTTAACCCTTTCAGCCCGGAGGAGACACACCCGCAATCACACCCACGCCCCACACATCCACATCCTCCTCCCTCCCTCCCTCCCTCTATCCTCCCCCCTCCCCTCCTCCTCCCCCCTCCCTCGCCCTCTCCCCCTCCCCCTCCCCCCCCTCTCCCCCAAACCTCCCACACTAACCTCCTGTAACCCTTTCAGCCCGAAGAAGAGCGGCAGCCAAGAAGAAAAAATTGAGACATCTTGGGAAAAGCAAAAGCACGGACACAGAAGATGAGGAAAATGAGGCCGAGGATGAGGATGGTGAGCAACCTGTTACTCATAAAAAAAAAAAACATCTGTGATTTTTTTTTTTTTTTTTTTTTTTTTTTTTTTTTTTTTTTTTTTTTTTTTTTGTTATGATTGAGTTGTGGTTTTAGTTTTGTGTGTTTTTTCGTTTTATGTTTTGATGTTTTTCTTCGTTTTTTTTTTTAACATTCCACCTCATTCAGGTAATTTTACACGTGTTTGTTTGTTTTATGATTGTGTTTTTTTCTTTTATTGTTGTTGTTTGTTTGTTTTTCATACGATACAGATACTGACAGATACTTCTACACAAATACACTCTACACTACACCTGTAAATATTCACAATATATCTCTTTCTTTTCCTCTTTCTTGTGTATTTCTTATTTTCCATTCTTACTTTTTCCATCAGTTCTCTGTTTACACTTCCAGATATTCCTTTTTTTAATCTTTTTCTTTTCTCCTTCTAACTTCATTTTACATTCATTTCCTCGTCTTCATTCTCTTTCGTTCTTTATCTTATTTATCATTCTCAAACTAACTAATCTTGTCTATAATTCTCATCTTTCTGTCTGTTTCTCTGATCAGATCTCTATATCATTCGACTTTCCTGTCTCTTGCTCTGTCGGGTGATTTTCTGTCTGATGTCTATGTGCGTATATATATATTGTGTGTGCGTGTGTGTGAGTGTGAGAGAGCGAGTGTTATATATATACATACATATATATGTATATATATATATATATATATATATATATATATATATATATATATATTATATATATATATATATATATATATAATATATATATATATATATATATATATATATATATATATATATATATATATATATATATATATATATATATATATATATATATATATATATATATATATATATATATATATATATATATATATATATATATTATATATATATATATATATATATATATATATATATATATATATATATATATACATATATATACATATATATAATACATATATATATATATATATATATATATATATATATATATATATATATATATATATATGCATATACATATATATGTATGTATTTATGTATGTGTATATATAGTCATGTAGGTGCGTGTGTGAGCGTGTTATCAGGGTCTGTACATAGAGAGGAAGAGGAAAGGGTGCTTCTATTTCCTTCGACTTTCAATCTCAAAAAATTCTACTAACTTTACTTCTATTTCCATTCTTCCATTTCTTTTTCGATTTATTTATCTCTTTTTTTCTCATTCCATCTTCTTCATTTCTCCTAATCACTTTTCTTCACTTATCATCTTCTTTTTGTCTGTTTAATATGTCAACATTAACATGCTGTATCCCACTTGTGGACAGACATGAACTTTGTAATTTCTGTACATACAGCATATATACTATAAGTTGTAACACTAGATATAATGATCATTTTATACATAAGTCTTCTGTCAGAATGAACTGTGCTGCAGATGTGATAATTCGTATTAAAAGAAAATATTCAATCTCATTCATCCTCTTGACATTCTTAATTCAATTGTCACTATTGATTTTATTGCCTTAATTCTCTCTTAATTTGTCATTATTGATTTTATTGCCTTAATTCTCGAAAAAATGTAAATTTAAAAAAATGGATTAGTTTCCCCTCTCTTTCTCATCTCCAGCCCCGTTTTCTGACACTGGGCGATTCAGGTTAGACGAGCACTGTATATTATTTCAAGCAACAACAACACTCCAGAATCTCTGTATTATACACCGGGCCCTCTTAGCTATAGTGCAAAGTGTCAATAAAGACGGTGAACAAAAAAAGAAAGGATTAGTATGGTTTTTATATATATATATACGATGGAGATTTGCCTACGAAAGCATCTTAATTTCTAAGAGAATATATAATTGGGTTTTACATGTTTATTAATATTTTTTTTATATTCCAGTTATGTTTTTTTGCATTGTTAAGTATCTTGAGATTTTCAAGCATGTACTTCATGATAAATGCCATGTGACTCTTTTAATTGCTTTCATAATTCAAGTTCCAATTGTCATATAAAGATTATTTATAACATAATCAATATTCCTTAGGTTCATTTTACAACAGAAATTTCACAACATGAATCTCTCTCTCTCTGTCTCTTTTTTTTTTTTTTTTTTTTTTTCTTTTTTGGCTTCACGATAAACTCTAGGACAATTTTGTCACATGGTATTTTAACTGTCTTTCCTCATTCTTAATTAATACCCTGGATGGGAAGTGTAATTGTGTGTAGTCCGAGGTGCCCAAGAAACTATTAGAAGGACATGTTACTTGCTTTCTACATGACCAAATCAAAAAAAAAAAAAAAAAACTAAATCTGCCCCTTCCTACAGTGACTCCCGAATACACGTTTTATGCTGTAGTGTTTTTTAGTGTTATAGGAATGAATTTTATATGCACATATTATTGAGATCTCTCCTTACACCCCCCCCCCAATTTTTCATTCTAACAGCCCCCCTTTCTCTCGCAGTTCCTGCCAAAAAGAAAGGTATTGGTACGCAACTCATGGTAAACCTAGATTACATTATAGACGTTGTCGTTAATCCATTTTACCATAGTTTGTCCGACAGTCATTGGTTTCACAAATTTTTATAGGGTATTGTGTATGGTATTTTGAAACTTTAGTACTAAACTGTATTTTTTTGAGCTTTAGTAAATTATGAGATTTTTCCAGCTTCATAATGTGCCTTTTTGAGGCTTCGGTAATAACCATTTTTACCATTTTGATTTTTTTTTTTTTCTTATGGTTTGACTGTTTTTTATGAAGTCTCGAATCAGATTTTTGAGACTTCGATCGTTGCGACTTTGAAGCTTTAGTCAAGGTATCTTTTTTCTTTTTTTTTGACAATTTTACTGATTTTAACTAGTGGCATCGCTTTTACGTTTCATAAATTTTCCTTTTTTTTCCTCTTTATTTTCACATTTTCATTTTTTTTTTACATTTTTGGTGAATTTTTCTTTTCCATTTTTTTGTGAAACGAAAAAAAAAAAATGTTGAAGCTGCTCGGAATGGTGAATAAGATTTGTAGTGTATTTCCTAAGACAGCTTCATGACTTCTTTCCTAGTGGTTAGTGCATGTTGTAACTAAGTACTGGCTCGTCGGGAGGCTATGTTCTTACTTAGCAGTAGTTGACTCTCTAGAGCATTGCGCAAGAATCATAGCACAATCATTAGGACTTGCTGACGTAACTGGCCAGCAGCTTGTGGTATCACTAATGAACTCGATAGTGTGATTAATTAAATCTGCTAGACGTGTTAGCCAGTCATAGAGTAGATCCATAACACGAGAGAGGAAATTCCTGGAGGTTTACAAAGATAATCGGAGCATTTTGATATTAGGTAAGCAAAAGTGTTGATACAACATGTCTTATTATTTTTCTCTCTCCACCATTTAAGTCATTCTGCTAAAGTGCTTCTCTTAAAAGTATCACTAGAGCTCAGAGATCTATGTAAAGATACGTATTTCGAGTTGGCTTAAGATGAGAGACACTCCCCTGCCTCAAGGAGGTATCAGAGAGGACACAGACCCTTACGAGATCCTTCCTGCGACGCCGCCTCGAGTGTGGCTGAACGACGGGCGTGGGCGGGGCGGGCGGGGCGGGCGCGGCGCGGGCGCTTGGGGACACTGTGAACTCGTGCGTGCTTATCATTTACACACACACATATATATATATATATATATATATATATATATATATATATATATATGTATATATATATATATATATATATATATATATATATATATATATATATATATATATATATATATATTATATATGTATACATGGACATATACATGCACACACACACACACACAACACACACACACACACACACACACACACACACACACACACACACACACACACACACACACACACACACACACACACACACACACATACACCCATATATACACGCACAGGTATCTGTATGCACGCACACACATACAAAACATTTAATGTCTGTGTGTGTGATATATATATATATATATATATATATATATATATATATATATATATATATATATATATATATATTTATATTATTACATATACCACACACACACACACACACATACTAAACATACATATGCACGCATTGACATAGAGCTGCACTATGTGTCCCCACGCGCGCGCGCAGAGGCCGCCCCAGACTGGGACTCGCCGCCCGCCCTCAGAGTCTCCCTCCCCGACGCCTCAACCAAGGGCGTGGCGTGGGAGAGAGCCTGTCCTGTTCAGCTATACTCTCCCTTCCTTTAGTTCCCCCTCTCTCTCTCTTCTCTCTCTTCTCTCTCTCTCTCTCTCTCTCTCTCTCTCTCTCTTCTCTCTCCTCTCTCTCTCTCTCTCTCTCTCTCTCTCTCTCTCCTTCACTTCACCTCCTTTTCCCCACGATTTGCAAACCCCCATCAAAGAACTTTCTTTTGAAATCGATTTTGAAAAACGATTTCTTAATTTTTTTTTTTCTGTGGTCATTTTTTTTTTCTTTCTTGTGGAATATATATATTTTTACAGTACATACTCAGCCTTTTATATTGTATGGGGGATGAACAGAAGGCTTGTTCATAGTGACCTTGTAGAACCTGTTTTCTAAGAAGTAGATTTTGTTTATAAG